GCAGCTGCGCCCTTTGAATGCTTTTGTTTCAGCCAACTTCAGCTTTAAAAAAAAAGTTCTCAGCACTCTGTCTCTGCCCCAATTTGTTTTTGCAAAACTGTCTCCTTTAAAGTTGAATTCATTTTAATAAAATTTTAATGTTGTGTCTGGGATGCCAAACATAGTTGCTTTTACTGGACTTTTCAAAAGATACTTTTGATTTGGGAGGGAAGCACTACACCATTTAGTTATGATGTATAATTCATTTTAAGAAAAACCACCCAATTATTTTCCCAGTTGTACTCTGACAGTAATTTTACTTCTGCTTCCCAGCAAAATAATCAATATTTGTTTTTTAACAGTGAATCTGAACCAAGAAAACCAGGACCTAGAGAAATTAGGATTTTACCTTAATGCGGTTCTACCTGTCAAACTACCCCACCATTGACATCCTGGAATTCCACATTTAGTTTGGATCAGAGACTACACCAGTAAGTATGGTAAGCAGACAGCAGAGGCATAATTTTTAAAGAAAGGTAGCAGCAGGCAGTTACAGTAATGCTCCAGTGTACCTGACATTGTGGAGATCCACACATGGCAAATAAAACATAACAAAAATTTTAAAATGCCACCTTATGTGATATAGCAAATGTAACTGCAGATCTGTCTCTCTTCAGGACAATGGATGAAAAGCATTCATGCTAAATTCTTCAACCACATTGCTTTAGGCTGTTTTGACACCACGAATTTTCAAGGTCTGCACACTTCCTTGTCTCCAGGCAAGAGTGAGGTAAGGTCTCCATAATTTGCACAAATTGCCTCCAAAAGCCATTCTTTCCCTGTTTTTGTTGGAAAGCACACACACACAGCAAAGCCCAGAAGACCTGGATGATTTCTTAATCTCTCTCTCTCTCTCTCTCTCTCACACACACACACACACACACACACATCCTTCAATGATTCCAATCCTTAGCAGTCCATGCGACAAAGTAGCACTCAATCTTTTGCTTGGTTGTGCAAGTTACATGATCTGTATTCAAGTGTTATTAGCACAATTTTGCCCAACTGGTGCAAAAAATTGTTCCTGTTTTCATTTTGCCTTGTTGAGCACACCACTAAACACTTTGCCCTCTGATGATGAGAATAATTCTGTGGTTCTTCATCCTTACATGCAAGGGTGAGAGAAGCAAGAATTTATGTCCATATTCAGTGCCACAATAAAAAGACATCATTCTGTGTGTACACAAGCATACACACATGCTAGAATCAGAAGTCAGCTTTACAGCCGTCATTAAAAGGCACAGCTTCATCCCAATTTCTCAACCTTTCTCTCATGATATACTTGCATTACAAAACAAGATCTTCCCTAGATCTCAATCCTTCCAGAAATAAACAGAGTATCCCTTTCAGGGAAGGGCAGCCCTGGATACAGCCTACAACATGGAAATCACTTTTTCCATGTTCAATGTTTCATGGAAGGAAGGAAGGAAAAGGAGATACAGACCAGACTGTGAAAGTACTGAGCTTTTACATGTATATTGAGAAATAAGTCTCATTGATTTAAACAAGGCTTATTCATATATACTGTATATGGAAATAGGAATGCAATAAAACTACTCAAAAATAAAAAATCTGTAATAACTCAGTACTTTACTGATGATGTTGTAAGTTTACAGAAGTCACAGAAACCTAATCAAGAGACAAAGGCAGTCGTGACTTGTTTCAGTATTTTTGAGTACCAATAGAGAAACCTACAATAAATTTCCAGGACTATCTTTCAAAACATGTTTACAGGAAGAGAAGCTGCTGAGCCACAGTAGACTTCCTTTAATAGACTAATCTCTTTTCAAGGCAACTGCTGCAATTCTCCTGTCAACTAGTTTAATAACCGTTGTAGTTCAAAAAGATAAAATATCCAGTCATGTAACCGAAAAAAGAAAAAAAAATCTAGAAAGCCTTCCTGAAGAAGACTTCATTGTCAACAAATAGGGAAAGCAAGAGTAGGAGAAAAGATAAGAGCAGAGCAAAGCTGTTTTAAAGAGGGATATCCATCTTCATAATTTCTCATTGTTGTCCTCTTCCCTGCAGTTCAAGAAGCATTGAGACATGTCCCAAGGGCTAACAAGAACCAGCCATAAGATTAGGAGGACCCTATAACAAAACTATAAATGCTTCAAGATGACCATTGTAGTTGTAGTCTTCTTTTCCCACATCATTGAGCAGTACTCAATGATTTAACTACCTGACTGCGGAGACAGAAGTTGATTCCCCATTGACAGGGGCTGAACTCGGTGATCAATAGGGTCCCTTTCAGCTCTGCAGTCTAAGATGCCGGTGCTTGCTTGCTTGCTTGCTTGCTTGCTTGCTTATTTATTTATTTATTTATTTATTTATCCCACCCAACTAGTGGCACATAAATCATCCACATACCTATCCACCAACAGAAAACACTCAAATCACAATGAAGATAGGATGATGATGAAGATGAGGATGAGATCTCCAATTGGGAAGAAGCTGGGATCAAGCATGGCATATTCAGATTTGGCTTATAATTATGAAATTCAGCTGGACTCTGAGGAGGAATTCAATCTTGAATAAAACTCATGTTACAAAGGAATGCTTTTTCATTGTAGACCAGCACCATTTATTTAAATTATTATAGGTAACTGAAACACTGACGTCTACGTTGGCTTGGGCATGTCGTGAGAATGGCTGATGGTTGCATTCCAAAGGATCTCCTGTATGGAGAATTAGTGCAGGGAAATCGCCCCAGAGGGAGACCACAGCTGCGATACAAGGACATCTGCAAGTGGGATCTGAGGGCCTTAGGAATGGACCTCAACAGATGGGAAACCCTGACATTTGAGCGTTCAGCCTGGAGGCAGGTGTTGCATCACGGCCTCTCCCAATTTGAAGAGACCCTTGCCCAGCAGGCTGAGGCAAAGAGGAAGTCACAAAAGCAGCAAAATCAGGGAGCACGACAGATTAGATTTGTCTTCAGTGTGGAAGGGATGGTCACTCTCGAATCGGCCTCCTCAGCCACACTAAGGATGCCTAACTATAGGTAACATTTCCCCATGAACTAATTGAATGAAAAATACTAGAATACATATATTCCCCCAGGCAAACCCACATTGTACAGTGAGAAAACTACTGTATAACTGCTGCATCATTTCTTGTGTGTGAAAATAAACACATAAAATTAATGGGATGCAGTATTGCGGGCTAAACTGCAGAAGCCTTCGTGTGCTGGAGGGTCAGAAGACCAGCAGTCGTAAGATTGAATCCACGTGACAGAGTGAGCTCCCGTCACTTTGTCCCAGCTCCTCGCCAACCTAGCAGTTCGAAAGCATGTAAATGCGAGTAGATAAATAGGTACCATCTCGGTGGGAAGCTAAACAGCGTTCCGTGTATAGCCACGCTGGCCACGTGACAACGGAAACTGTCTTCAGACAAACGCTGGCTCTATGCGGCTTGGAAACGTGGATTAGCACCGCCCCCTAGAGTCAAACACGACTGACTAAAATGTCAAGGGAATCTTTATCTTTAGTATGGGCTAATAATGCAAAGAGGTTTACTGAGATACAAGATCACTTTCATAATAACAAGGCTGGTTAACTTATTTTTGTAGCAGCCTGACTGCCATTGGGAAATTGGTGGGACCAAGATAACTCTAAAGGCAGATGTTCCCATTATTCAAATACTATTTCAATATAAATCTAAATTCCAGCTAGCCTTTAGAAAAGGAAAAAGTGTTTGAATGCAGAATCAAAGTCTGGGGGGAAAACTGCAAAAATGAGAAATGGCTGTATTCCTGATTTTTCCCCCTTAGCAATGTAATAATTCACTTGTAAACAAATGCTTTTATTAACAATATTATTGTTTCAACATGAGAATGAGGATTAGAAAGGAAAACTCTTAAATACAGGGGGAAGAAATCTGTGGGAATGAGTTATAGTATATATTCTTCAGCATTTAGTTACATGAAGATGGGTATACAGTATTAGTTTCAAACATTTTAATATTCAAATGTTCATCATCATTACCACCACCACCATTTAGGCTGAAACTGAGGGATTCGTATGCACAGTTCAAGACCAAGTGACTTGCACCTAGATATTATCAGAAAATAATTATGAAACAAGGTGTTTAATTTCCTATAGGGAATCAGTCCATCTCATATTTAGTTTTTATCTTCTCCTGCTGCCTTCCACCTTTCCCAGCATTACAGTATTGTCTTTTTCAGAGAATCCTGTCTTCTCATTATTTGCCCAAAGTAGGACAGCCTCAGTTTCAATAGGCTGTCCTACTCTGGGCAACAGCCTTCTGAGATAGTTCAAACATGATTTGATCTGGGATCCATTTGTTTGTCTGGCAGTTCACGGTATCAGCAAAATTGTCACAGTTGGAGGTCCCGAACTAGCACCAACATGTACCGCCATAACCAAGTAGCAAAGACAATTTTTCAGCAATTGGTTAACCAAGTTGCAAAGATAATTTTTCAGCAATTGGCGAGGTCTTATGGATTATTTGCATCTGCTCCATATTATAAATTCCTGGCACCTCCAGTTTTAGAAAATGAAACCACAACACTATAGCAGGACAAGTAAGCCATCATAGATAAAACATGCCAGATATTCTGGAAGAGCAACAAAGAAAAACATATAGAAGTTGAAGTTCCATCAATAAGCAAACTCCAAAGTACAGAAACTACTAAAATGGCAAAGTACAGTACCAGACACTGAGGGAAGACATTAAAAGAATATGAAATTAAGATCAGGTTATCCTCCTCCCCATACAAATTTCAGCAATGACAGTTGTTTCAAAATCCTTGCTTACCGACTTAAAACAATTGCAAATAACTGCTAGTGTGCTTCCTGAAATCCAAATGCCAAATATGTTATCTTGGCCACCAATTTTTTTAGAACTTAACTCCAAATGTTTGGGCTTGACTCTTTGATCTGCCTACATGCAACAGCAATGCTGAGAAATAAGAAATTAAATGTAATAATAATACTTGCTTAAATATCTGTAGCCATCTTCCCCATCAACGATTGGTCTCAACCAGGTTGACCTAGCAACAGCTGCAGTTGCAAGTTTGAGACCACGAGGTGGATACAACATGAAGGCCATTTCAACTGCTTGAGTCTTATTGATGCTTACTATCTTTGTATCAGAGCCTAAAACACAAAAGATATAAAAAAAACATATTCAGTGCCACAATATGAAATATAATCTACATATGTATTATCTACTAGTCCTGATGGATACAGAAGTCAAAATCCAATTGTTGATCTCAACTAGAGCAAAAACCACTGAATCAGTGGGAACTGGGGCTAAAAGCTAGATATTGGCCTGGTAAACCACCTTCTGAGTATTCTTTACCTGGAAAAACCTGACAAGGGTAATCATAAGTCGGAACTATCTTGACAGCATATGATCATATTATCACAGTGAAGTTATTGTGGTGGCATAGCAAATCAACAATCTTTACATAGTAAGGGTCTTTCTTTACATAGTGAAGGACTTGGCAACGGTCATCCATGCCTTTTTTACATCACATCTTAAGTACTGTAAAGCACTACATGGGGCTGCTCTTGAAGTGAGTCTGAGATCGTCAATGGATGTAAACATGTGTCAGCTAGGCTGCTAAGTGGTACACAGTATTGTGATCATATGGCCCACAGTATTTAAACTCATTGACGTTTGATTACCAGTGCCAATTTAAGGTGTTGGATTTAACTTTTAAAGCCCAAATGGCTTGCAGCCTAGTTGTCTACAACAAGGAATATACTCCCTACTGAATTAAGAGCTGTTTCCATTCAGATTGCTTTTAAGGGGGGGGGACACATATTTTGGTCTGGCATATGAAGCTTAGTCCACCTTGCCATGTTGTTTTAATCTGCATCCCTTGTGATTTTGATTTTTTTAAAAAAAATAAATTTTGTAACTATCTGTGGTTAAATGGACACAGGATATTTTATAATAGTGGTGTCTGATTCTTATGTCATCTTATTCTTGTCCTATCCAAAATGGGCAGAAACTGGTTCTAAACAATATTGCATGAATAGGATGTTTTTGCACAACACAAAACATCAGAGTCTTAGACATTAATTTAGTGTGTGTCAGAGGCACAATGGGAGAAATCATTTCCTGTGAAGTGGGAGGCTGAGGCAGCCAGGTGGAGATGATGCTTTGCCATGCTTGCTTCTGCAGAGATGCCGGATGATATAACAGACTTTGGCAATATGCTGCACAACTTTATTCATTAAACAGTTAATAACAGAGCTTCTCCAGTGCATATAATCAGAGTTGCCTAAATAACATTCCCTGTGACAAGACAATTACCTACCTACCTACCTCAGCTAAGTGGTATCAAGTTGATTCCAGTTTATTTGTGACACTTTCCAGGGTTTTCAAGGTATAGAAGTGGTTTACCATTCCCTTCTTCTGGAAGCACCCTAGATATGGGCAGCTTCCCCAAGGCTACACAGTCTGGTTCTTCTCCTCGGAAGCATAGTGAGGACTCAAACTCTCAACCTTTGGCTCCATAGCTAGATACCTATGCAGCTGTGTAGTCAGCTTCTTTCAATTCTACATAACTACTTTCTATTTTTTTAGGCCACCTTTCACTTTATGGTTGCAAGGCAATAAAAAGAATATAGCACTACTGTTAGTATCTCAACTCATCGGACTCTTTCAATTTAAAAACAAACATGTCACCCTCTTCATTCAGCGTTCTAATGAAAATATATAAATATGACCTTTTGACCTACCCATTTAAACACAGATGCCATCTTTGTTTAAACTAACTCTAGCACCACAATATGGTACCCTACTAATGTATTTAGCTACAGTCCCCATAATCTCACCAATGGTCCCTGAGATGTCTGTAATCCACAAAATCTAGAGGGCACCAAATTTTGGATGGCTAAATTGGACTAAACTACATATGATCTTAAGAATACTAAAGGTCCTGGTCTCAACTACTTGTCCAACTAGTAGCAACAGATGTCCAATATAAAGTTTGAATCACCAAAATTACTTTAGTAATAGGGTTTATTTTCTACAACATGAAATAAGTGGACGTCATACATTTTTGTCATGTCATTTTTATCAAGCACTTCTCTTCATTAGTAACAAAAATTATAAACATGGCAATTCATTCATCAAAGTGAAAAATGCTGTGCTCTTATACCAAGAAAAGGGGAGTCAAAATAGACTGTCCTTATTCCTAAATTAATGGAGCATCTGTTGCTTAGTTACAGTGTTTTCTCCTTAAGCAAGAAAGATAACTGTAAACTAATTAATGAAGACTCAAAAGGTCAAGATTATAACAGCTGAAAGGTGAGGCTGTTAAAAAATAATCAAAAGCGGACCAGCAAAAGTTCATAATTTGAAAAATAAATTAAGGAGACATTAGAACTAGTGGTTTGAGAACACCAGTCATACAGCCTTACTCTTCTGCCAAAATATAATCCCTCTTATGATTCTGCAACAGAAGGGAAGAATGGTACAGCAATATGTGAGAATGTTATGCAAGAGCTAACTATTTCCTCCTCCCCCCTGCCACTATGTTAACTGTTCATGGGGCTGCTATATTGTCTAACTGCAACCTCAACTGCTTTTAATGACTGAAGGATTGTCTACTAGTCTGTGACGGTAGTTTAAACATTGTTTTAAGAGAATGTAACGGATCTTCTAGTGAGGAATAAAATACAGTCTTTCTTTGGGTGGAGGGGAAAAGCATATGAACAAAATGATAATAAAAAACACTTCTCATAAGGAGCCTCAAATTACCTCAAGAATATTGATGGCGAGAAAGAAGTTTGTTTTTAATTCTCATTTACTTTGTTTATCGGTGAAACAACAGTGGCCCAGTTTATAGTCAGCAGCATGTCTACCTATGGCTTCGCCAAGTGATTTCAATATGCCTGACAGATGAATCATGATTAGGCCTAAAGGAGAATATGGGGCTCAGAGCAAGGTAAATGAGCTGCATCACATCAGCGTAGGGCAGCAGCAGATGTGGTACCTATGGACGGTTATAAGCAATTGCTTTCCCCTACATATTTATGCTATTTGATACACACATGTCTGTGTGTGCACTTATGTGTCTATGTGCATATATGTGGGGAGTACACTGGCTTTGGGCAAAAATGTCCAAATGAGGTGCAGCAAGAATGTAATGAACTGCTGGATAGCTTAGTGAGACATCTGACTGTGGAGCCAGAGGTTGGGAGTTCAGTTCCCCTCTGAGTCTCCTTTACAGGGGCTGGACACAATGACTCTTAAGATCCCTTCCAGGTCTGCAGTTTTAAAATTATTATTAATATGTGTCTATTTCCAGATCAGATAAAACGCTTCCAGTATTGCTTGGATTGGTTTGCACATCTCTACAAATTATAAGTTTGCACCACTGTTTTAGGGGTGAAAATGCTTAAATCTGAACAAAAATACTTGGCACCAGTTGCTATAACAAAACAGCAAAATGCTATATTAAGTTAACAGCTGAAGGTCCAAAGAAAGCCAAAATATCTCTTGGAAACTCCAGCTGCTGAGCCCGGGGAGGGCTCCGATTGACCTCAAAAGTCTATTTATTCCCCAGCCTCCCTCACCAAGCAACCATTTTGCATTCAAGCATGGTGACAGGAAGGTAGTAAATCACTTTTTAGAGTTTTCTTTTAGGTAGCTAAACTGATTAAGAATACTTCTCCTTTACTTTTTTTTAATGCCTGCTGCTTGCCTTTTACAGTATTTGCAAAACCATTTTTTCCACCTTGCTGTGGGTGAGTGCCAAACATGCAACACTTTGATTTTGGTTTAGGCAGTGATTGAGCAAACCTGGGGAAGCCAGCCTACAGACTGAGGTCAAGGGGACATCTTCCACATATCTCAACATATGCTTTCCCTGAGCCCAGTTCTCCAAGGGGAGGGCGTATAAGAAATGAAGGAAATTAGTAGGAGCTTTTGCTTACAAACTGAAGGTCCACTTTCTGAGCAATATTCCCAAACCTAATGGTGCTGTGTATCAGCCTCCCATTCTGGGTCATAGTCCTTGATTTTCTGATTTGTAGTCCCTCCCCCTCAGGAAACACACAAAAACATGCAAATATCTACAGAAACAAATGACAAATTGGTTCAAGGCAGCTCCAAATCAACTCAGGGAGGTGGAATACCAATTTGTACAGGAAGTATTTTATTACAAATTAGATCAAACAATATTTGCACACTACTCACAAACACACACATACATATTCATATATCTATACAGTAATATTTTCTTGTATGTTTGTAAGAAATGTGGCTCAGCAGAATGTGGAGAGATTTAATCTCTTAAAATAAAAGTAGGAATACATATTTCAGCTCTTCTTTTCAAATACCTTTTTATTGTTTATGTTGCATTATCTCAGTGAATCAATGCAAAATTTTGGTTCCAATCCAAATGATCAATTCTCTGTTCTCTCCAAACTACACAAAGCTCTTTTAAAATCTGAGCAAAAATGAAATTACTTTATCATACTAGAATATGTCACACAACAGCTGGAAGAACGTTGGCAAAATACAGGAAAAATTAATCCCAAGCTTTAGGAACTAGAAGCAACTGCAATACTAGGAAAATAACTAGGTAAAATTTTGAAGATATTAATAAACTATAGCTAAAACCTGGGGTGGGTGGGAATAAAAGAAATACGATAAATGACATTACTCAACTGAAAGAAAACAAAACCAAGAAACTGGTAGATGTAGCAAACTACAAAATAATAGACATGCATTATGATGAAAGATAAGTAAATCTATAGATTAAAATTGGCCAGAGAAAAAGTTGTTGCTGTTTAGTCATTTTGTTGTGTCCGATTCTTCATGACCCCATGGACCAGAGCAGGCCAGGCCCTCCTGTCTTCCATTGCCTCCCAGAGTTCGGTCAAATTCATGTTGGTAGCTTCAGTGACACTATCCAACCGTCTCATCCTCTGTCGTCCCCTTCTCCTCTTGCCTTCACACTTTCCTAAAAAGTACATTCTGACAAATCTGTCTTCATATATGGCAGGCAAGAATTTATAGTATGTTCAGATCAAGTTAAGACGAATTGCTCTTATAGACTGTGGAGATTTTACTTAGGTGTCAAAATCCTGTGTAGGTACCTTGCAGCGATGACCGCACATGTATAGGCCTTTAC